CATGAAATTTAATTAATATTTCATACTTGTATATTTTTAGAGTACTCTAAAGTTAATCCTTCAAAATTATAAGTGTAAATACGTTAAATTAAAAAAAATAGTTACTCGATCAATAAGTTCCTCAATGACTTAAAATACTAGTATAATAGACTTTTAAAAATTATATTATCAAATTAGATAAATGTCACTATTTTTATCTTTACGAAACAGCGACATAAAATCTTTGAAGGATAGGTGACGACTTAAATTTTGGAGAAATTAATCAAAGGACAAAATCTTTAAATGATTGTACTGATAATATTTTAGATTCTTAAATAAATGATTTAAACATCAAATATTTTATCCAACGTGTTTATGCATGGAATTTTAGGAGAGCAAAGCAAGTAAATGGTTTACTATTATTCTTAGGAAAACACCAGAAAATATTTATTTCATATAATAAAAAACACGAAATCGAATCACTGTTGAACGTAGCCATCGCAACATTAAATTGTGCACAATATCTTCTTGTTTATTCTTCCCATATGAAATGGTTGTTATCGGCCACTCATTGTGTGGCCGAATAGTAGTGTGAGGTATTCGATGAAGCTGCAATTGAACCATTGAACCACAGCCATAGAAGTTCATGAGATAGTATATGGTACGAGAATATACAGTAGCTTAATTATGTGGGTTCAAAGACACATGGGAAATTGTGTCAATCTTCAACTCACTTGGAAATAATGGCAAGTTGGTTACCATTACTATCATATGTTTATTTATTTCTTCCTTCGTATATTTAATTCACATTGGTCATTCATGGTACCGTGTCAGAATGGTATGCTGCAAGAGAAACTAGACTATTGTAAATTTGTAATAATGTTTCAATTTAGGGACATAACTAAGACATGGAATTTCCACATGTAGGGTAGATGATATTTGTTGACTAGAATATGAGGAAAATCACATAAAATATGAAGTTAGTGTAATTGAGACGAGACAGGATCCCAAGTTAATGTTACAATAATATTACAATATGTTTACTTGCCAAATTGGAAGTGTGGAACTTGAACATTTCTGCAACCTGCCACCTTTTTACTGCATAACTCATATTGCGTGACTATAAGTATATTTAACTCTTCATTTGATTACTCTTTTGGTAGGTTTAATGGTTGGAAGCCAACTTATAAGACAACGAAATGTTTAATGTGGTTACTTGTCAAATTAAAATTGTAAACACCAGTTTTATTTTAAAATAAATTCTATTTGTATTGTTTCTTTATAGAAAAAGAGATAAACAAAAATTAATATGATAGATAGAGTAAAAAAATATTTCTCAAAAAGTACTGTATCAAGAATATAACTCTTACTTTTATGATTAGTCATTCAATTTGTATTCACAAAATGTAACATCATAAATAAGTTTTTTAAATAATAATAAAAAATTGCAGAGAGGAAATCACGTGTAGCATGTCTTAAATCTTAGCAAAGCTTATGATAATCTTTATAAATTGATAAGGAAATTAAGGTAAATAATATTAGCTAAATAATTTGTACGCAGCACTGGCCATTTTTGTTGACTAACCAGACAAAAAACACACAGCATGTGTTAAAATGCATATCCAAATGACACATTCATGTGAAAAAGAAAAAATGTAGACTGAAACGGAACAAAGTCTAAAATACAGATCCGTTCTCTCCTTAAATTCTTTTTTTCATTTTTCTAGAAAAGAACAAGTTATACTCTGCAATTTTAGGAAGCTCTTAAATTTAAATTCTGAGGATTTTATCTCATTACCTTTTACTCTCTTTAATTTCTCTTTCCACTTAAAACTACAATACAAAAAGAAAAAGGACAGTACACGTAATAAACTTAGGTTAGTCAATAAAATTGTAAACAATGGTTAATTTAGTCTTTCAAATTTTTATATAAATTTGTTAATCTTTAACTTTATTAAATATTTAACATTTTAGTTCAAGCAATAATTTTTCTTATAACAGCATTCATTTTATTATTAAATGACATTTACAATATCAAAATATAGTCATTGAAATGACTCAAAACTTCCTTTTCTTTTTAGCCATGAATTATTTTTAACTTCTAATACGACTCTTCTATTTCAAAAATCATCTTTCCCTTTCTCTCTTCTCTTATATTTTCTCCGTTAAAATTTTAAATTGTCATGAAATTCGCTAAATGCACTTCAACCATGAGTGTTGTGCTCCACTTCTTCTACTTCAAGATCTCCCACATGCTAAATTGGTTCAACTCGAATTCTCCTTTTAGTCATTGTGGCATTATCAATAACAATAACAATGAGCTCCATACTAGTTATGATAACGATGCTGAGATTAAGGAGGTGGTGAGAAGAGGAGGGAAGTGTGGATTTATGAATGGGGAGGATAAGAAGTTTTGGAAGATGACAACAAAAATAGAAGAGAGAAAGAACACAACGATGATAATAAAAATTGATTAGATTAGTTTTTAAAAATATGTGAAAAGTGTCGTTTTAATATCAAGAATTAATATTATAATAAAAAAATTTATTTAAATACTTGACATTTGACAAAGTCAATAAATAATGAACTCATTTTAAAATTTTATAGACTAAATTATCTTATCTTTACAATATTAGGGACTAGTTTATTTTGATTTAACTTATTTTGTATCAAAAGTACACACTAAAAGTTTGTGTATAATAAAACTTTTTATTAAAAATTATAGTATTTAATCACAAAAATTAGAAAATTTAAATTTTAAAAAATTATTATATATTAAGGTTTTATTAGATGTTCTTAAATATACATTAAAAAATTGTTAAAAGTTAAAAATTGAGTATTTAGAAAAAGAAAAAACTGACGGATAACTAACTTCCACATAAACGAATTGGGGGTTGCCAGGTGTTGAACCAAAATCAACTTTATTATTGATATATAATTGTTGGTTCCCTTTCCTTGCACAGAAATGTCCAATTATATGGACCCAAAACCAAAGATTCATCATAAAAGATAAACCATAAATCAACTTTAGTCGAAGCTTTTTCTTTGGGGGGGTTAGTTAGGTGATTATGATTGAGATATATATAATTTTCCTAGAATTGTGTCCCGGGAAGGACTACATATTTTGTATGTTGCAATTGCAACTGTAATTTGTACCACTTCATGGACAGTGGGCATGATGTTGAAACAAGCCATGACAGAGTCTGACTCAAAGCTCAAGTTGGCTATAACATCACTATACAAGGCACAATGGACATTCCTTCGCAAGATAAAAACAAAAAAAGACCATGACATGCTGCACTATGAGTGAAGGAAAGCACAATGCAAATTGCAAAACCACTGAACAGACTACAAAAGACATGCCGAATCACATTGCTACAAAAACAACTAAGGGGAAATGCCCATAATCCTATAATGACTAATTAGAGGGACTTTCATGTTACAAGTTGCTTGACATGATGAAAAGTTTCATTTTAAGATGAAAATTTGCATTGGGTTGGACCCTCCAAGCACAGGCACACTTTGACATGTGGAGAGCCCCCTCCACAATAATTGAAGCAAATGAATAAAAGCATCGTGTGTGTTGTTTGTCAGACTTGTGTGCTCTATAGTTGTGTCAACTTATTTTCTCCACAATCTACCAATAAAACCCCCCCAATTTCCTTGACTTTTTAAAGCTCTTTTTCTCCTTTCATTTCACCAATCCAATGACAATTAAACATTGCCATAAATATCATAGCTTCATCTTCATGTTAAAAATCTTGCTTGGAACTTCCAACTTGCAAGGCTTTGCAAAGTTGACTTGCTACCTGAAGATATTCTGGTCACGATTTGACAGTTATTTATTGCCATGTGTATCTTACTCTTAGTTTCACCCTATGGCAGGCAGAAGTTGCTCTCCCCCAATTGTTTGCTTCTCATTGGGTACTCACGATTTCAACATGTGCTTGCAACCAATCTCCCCTCACTGCCACCATCTTTTGCAATATCTACATAACTTTGAACTGATGAAGACGTATTCATCCATGCTTGATGCAATTTTTTCATTTTATTCTGATTTAACATTAGGGTACCCACTAAAATCATTACACTTCCAATTTTAGTTCCACTAATTATATTACTAAAAATTTATACCTTTGGTTGTTCCCTCCGAATCTCCAAAACTTATTATAGTTTAGGGTTTATTTTTCAAAAATTATAAATTTAATTTGTTCACTTTTTTTCTTATAAAAAAAATATGTAGTTCAATTTAATTTTTATCAATATTCAATCATATTTAATGACTCAATTATTTATACTTAACTAATTATAAATCAAAAGAACACTTACCTTTGTTTGAAAAAGAAACATAATTTATATTTTTAAAAAGAAAAAAAATTGAATTTTTTTATTATAAAGATTATTTTTTTCCATTAACTTTCCTTTCAACCTAACAAACAAAAATATTATCTGTATTTTTCCTCACATTTTTTTTTCTGTTCAAAACAAAAGCAATAGATTTTATCACGAATTTCACCAGACACAGAATTGAGTACCCTGACTGACAAATAACAAAATTTCAGAACTGTTGACCGATTCTCTTTTTTTTATTCCACGTATTAATATATGTTTTTTCCATTAGCGCAGGCCACATCAAGCAAAAAAGCACCTAATAAGTGAATTCAGCGGTCACTTTTTTTTTTTTTTTAATTTGTTCTCACATACACAGCATCTAACAAATAAAGAAAACAATATCCACAGGGGCGTCAATAAAAATAGTGATGAAATAAGTATTATTCCTGATATTTACAACAGAAAACTGTACTTAACAGAAGTTTACAGAGCTGAAATGGTAAACAAACACATAGTATATCACATTCTATAGTGTGATATATATATATACCCTTTTTTTGCCCAATACTTACATGCAAATCAAGTGAAAGAACAAGCAGAGACCAGCTGAGCTTCATTGCTAACTACCCAAAAGCTACAAGCTGGTCCCCAAAACCTCTTCACTCAGTAAAACTAACCCCAAATTAAAAAAAAATAAAAATAAAAATGCAGAAAAAAAAAATCTGCTTTTCTGTAAACAATATGACAGAGGAGTAGATTCCGGGGACATATCTGCAATCATCCCTCAGATAAACCTCTCCTCACAACCCACCCCACCAATCAAGCTTGCTTCCTCAACTCCTTGGAGGGAATAAAAGTTCCATGGAAGCCGTAAGGAACCCGCGAGGGAAGCTTAATAGAAGCTTCAAGCTTCAAGTTCATGGCATTCACAATCTGCAACTCCGATTTCCATTCCTTCTCATCATGGACGAATGCCAGAATATAGCCATCATCTTCCCTCTCTGAATTGATGTCCCTGGGAAGAAACAGAGGCTCTCCACCGAACCTCTCTTCTCCATACAAATACTTCTTGACTTCACCACTGAACAAATCAACTTTGGCAAAGCCCGAGACTTTGGGCCAGGGCTCGGCAAGAGCCAAGTACGCGAACTGCGTCTTTCTGCCTAGCTTGTTTCGGTTGACCATGCCAGCCTCCAAGTTGACCTGTTGGGCCTCGTCGATAATGGGCCTCCGAGTGGACTCGCCGGTCTTCAAGTTAAGCCTTATCTCCGACAACACACTCTTCAAACTCTCTTCACATTCGTTGAAAATGGAGTCAGCAGGGGTCATGCAAGACCCAATCACAACAACTTCGTTGGTCTCAGGCTCCTCCCACGCGTTCCAGAGATGGAAGCAAAAACACTCCGGCGCGTCGATCCACTTAATTGCACTCGCGTCACGCGCATTCTTCTCCAAAATCCCGAACCGCGAAACTTTCTCTTTGTCGTAAACAACGGGTGAACCTCCTCTTATCATTTCGCTCAATTTAAACACCACCTGTTGGTCGGGGATAACGACCAAATTCTCCGTTATGGCGAAATCGTGCATCATGGTGGGTTCTTTAAGGGGGATTTCCACGTCGGGGGATTTAACGCCGTCACTGGAGAAACGGAAGTACTTAAGGTAAGGCTTTTGAACCACGTCGTAGCTGAGAGCGTAGAGATCGCCGTCAACAGGGTCGACTTTGGGGTGTGCGATCATTGTGTTTTTCAATTGGCCGTTAAAGTCGTAACGCCCAACGGTGGTTAAGTCTCCGTTCGTGGTGACGTGGATGTGGTAAGGTAAATCGTCTTCAGACATGGCTAAGAGGTGGTTGTTGAAGTAGACGAGGCCAGCGTTAGCGACGCCCATGCCGTGAGTTCCGTCGAGGAGGCCGAAGAGGCTACGCGCGTAGAACAAGAGGAGGCGAGCGATGCCGGAGTGCCCGTGGAGTTCGCCGATGGCTTTGGGGAAAACGGGTCGCCCCAGGGCTTTTTCTTGGACCAGCCGTTGGGTTTCGGTGAAGCGGCACGCGTAGCTGGCGGAACCGTCTTTGAATTTAACGGCGTGGACCATGCCGTCACCGTCAAAGAAGTGATGACCGGCTACCGGTTCGTAAAGTGGGTTGGCGCCGTTGCGGACGTAGACGCCTTCAATGCATTTGGGGATTTTTCCGGTCACCGGGAGGGAGTAGTGGACAGGTTGCTCCGGCACTGGAGCGAAATTGCCGGCGATTTGGACTCTTGGGTCGGCGGTTTTGGGAAGTGGGTGTTGGCGTTCGTGGGAGACTAAGGCCGTTTCGACTAAGTCTAAGGCCGTGGATGCGGCTTGTTGCAAAAGGTTCCACCTTTGGGGTAATGGTTTGGTGTCGGAGGGTGGAGAGAGAGGTTGATGGGTTTTGGTTGTGGTGGTGGTGGTGGAGGGTGGTTGGTACTGTTTGGGAAAGGGGAGTGTTTGGAGGGAGCACGTGATGGTGTTGGGGGAGGAGCGTTTTTTCAAGGTGATTGAGGTTGTGGGAGAAGAAGTGGAGTTTAAGTCTTTGAAGGGGGAAGAGCATGATGAAGGGAGTGTGGTGTTAATCCAACTGTTTGTTGCTGCGGATGATGCCATGGTGTTGAGTGGTTCTCTATTTTCTGGTTGTTGTTGTGAAGCTGTGTTTGTTTTGGTACAAGGAAATGGAAATTAAGAGTGTTGGTGTTGGTGTTGTGGGCTATGTAAAGAGTGAGAAAGAGAGAGTTGGGGAGAGTGGGGAGTGAGATATGGGGTATATATAGTGGGAGAAGAAGGAAGGAATGGAGGTTCAACTGGGACATGTAGGAGGAGACCACGTGTAGGATTAAGAAAATGGGAGAGGGGACTCATAAAAGGTAGGATTGCCAATTAGTGATCAAGACAAGGTGGGGTTCAATGCGGGACATAGCTGCGTGATACAATGCCACGAATCCCCTCTTTCGTTTTCTCTCTCTAGACTACCCAATGCTTATTATATGTGCCTCTGAATATTATATTTGCAAAATAATAGGGGATATGATTATAATATGGGGAAAGTTCCTTAAATTGAGAGCAATCACACATGACAAAAAACGGTAGAGAGAGAGAGAGAAGAGAGCGAAAAAGAAAATGAAAGCGGCAAAGGGAAGAGTGTTTTGACGATGGTTCTTCTTTCTCTATTGGCCCATTTAGTGTGCAAGAGGAACTAATGGGGGTAGAGGATGAGTTGGGCTTTTGATTCATGGCTTTGCCTAATCGCCTTTGAGTGTGGATTGGGTGAGTGGGGAAGCCATTTGTTTTTTGCACACGTCTAACCCCGCGTCGCTCCCTCAATGAGAGTGTGACTCCCATTACACGTGGCCAATTCTCTCCGTGTCTCCTCTTCTTCTCCTTCAAATCTTTGGTCACATCACTTCCTTTGCCCCACACGCTTGCCTCCCCCTTAAACCTTCCTTCTTCCCTCATCTCTTGCGCACGTTTATGGTTTTACTATTCCAATTCTACCTTTATTCATCTCTTCAATTTCATTCTTCTTTCCTTTTTTAATCCCTATTCAAATTTTCTCTATATGCTCCCTCTCCATTTTCATGCACAACATAAATTGCCTAATTTTTAATTTATTGACTCTATCATATTTTAACATTAATTTTTCGCATACTTTTCAAATCACCCTTCGGGCAATTATTTTTTGAGGCATACGAATCACATTAACTTATAATTAAGAGATACCTTCTATCTCTCTTTTCTTAATTTTCGTTCCTCATCTGTTTTAATAAACTAACTGTAAGTTGTAAGTTGCAACTGGGTATCTAAATTCTTGTTCTGATTATTCTCTTGTGATGAATAATTATTTGTAGAACTAGCATACACTATATTGTTTTTATTGTATTGAAAGCTTATCCAAACCCGGAGAAGTACCGATGAATAAATATAATAAAAACAAGTCTCAAGCTTTGATGCAAAATCAAGATTATATGCATCCTTCCTATTCCTTAACTTTTTTAAAGTAATGGAGATAGCTGGGTAAACAATATTCTTGTTCTTTGGCAGGATTAATGTTGACAAAAATTGACTCTATGCTACGTGTAAGGCTATGTTTTGATTGAAAATAGGTTACGCTGGTTCCATTGCTAGACTTCATGAAAGGAGTCACAAAGGCAATTAGATGCTATATGATATTTTTCCTCACCATTTAATACAGAAAAAATTGCACCTGACTAAAACCTTTGTAATAAAAGCAATAAACAAAATGATGTAATGCATGATGCAACAAAACAATGCACCATTAGAAGAGATATTTCTTCTTTCTTTATATCTAATGGCCAATGGGTAATACATCATAGTCATAACATACAGAAGCTCTGGTAGCATCTACCAGAGTGGACCAGGCTGTAATGGAAGTTTTGTGTTGTCAGAACTCCATTTGCAAAGAAAGGAAGTAACGAAATATCGATAGGCATTTCAAACTACATAGCAAGATGAACATATATAAGGGAATAATTGAGACATATTATAACTTTCAAAGTTAAAGGTTAAAGTTCCTTTCACATTCAATCGTTGGATTCTTGGTTAATAAATAAATTATATACCTTTTCGTTTTCTTTTAATTGATTATGGTACCACAGTTCAATTTGATCGCTGAGACCATGTTAGCTCAAAGCCGTCACAACAGAGAAAAATTATCCTAATAATTTATTCAACATGTTGGAAACCTTATTACTTTACAAATCATACGTTAAAAATTTGATTAAACTATTTACTCACATATCTATTGAAAGATGTTTAGATAATATATTACCTTCCATTCTTAATTGTAAAATCACACTTATTTCACTTGATATATTAATATATAGGACTGTTAATTTAATCTATTTTAATATAATGAGCATTTTATACTTTCCCCCCCCTCTTTTTGTGACTTAGTATCGTCAGTAATTAATTTTAAATTTGGATTATCAACATTGAGAATTTAACAGATAAAAATAAAATTGATATCACTTTTTAAATATTAAGGGATAAAATGATATAAAAAGATAGTAGTACAAAAGATTAAGTAACCTAAAAAAATATGCATATTAAAAAGTTTAAATAACATAAAAAAAATATAAAGAATAAATTAAAAGAGCGGGAAACTACATAGAAATAAAGTGTAATTTATCTTAATAGTATGATGTTTCAAATGGATCTGAATCGCCTGCAGTTCTAGCGAGAACTGCAGGCTGCAGTTTTGGATTTCTTCGCTTAAGCGAATTTTGGTAAAAAATAATTTTGGCTTAAGTTAAAAAAATTCACTTAAGCCAATTTTGCTTAAAACAAAAAAATTCGCTTAAGCGAATTTAGAAAGAGTAGCAAAAAAACTAAAGAAGAAGAGAGAAAGGGAGGCTGGAAGGGAGACCAGAGATGGGGCAAGAACACAAGGGAGAGGAAGAGCGGGAGAAAGCTAATAGAGAGAAGGGAAAAAAGTTAGATGAGGAGAGAAGACAAGGAAGATGAGTGGGGGTGAAGCGGAGGGGAGGAGAGGAGAGCTAGATGATAAGAGAAGGAGAAGGAGACTGGGTGGGTCGAAAGAAAAAGAGATGGGGAAGGGGAGGAAAGAAAAAGACTGAGTGAAAAAGTGAGAGGAAGAGGGTGGGTAGATTGAAAAGAGAGGATAAAAGAGGGAACCGAGAGAACGAAGCATCTTCTTCTTCTTGCATATTTTTGCTTAAGCGAATCTAGATTCGCTTAAGCAAAAATATGCAGGAAGAAGAAGATGTTACAGTGTATTTTTACTTTCAAATTCGCTTAAGCGAAAATATGCAAGAAGAAGAAGATGTTGCAGTGTATTTTTGCTTTCACTTAAGTAAATTTTTCTGGTTTAAGCGAAATTGGCTTAAACAAATTTTTTTAAGCTTAAGCCAAAATCATTTTTTACCAAAATTGGCTTAAGCGAAGATTTCGCTTAAGCGAATCCAAAACTGCAGCCTGCAGTTCCTACCAGAACTGCAGGCAATCCGAATCCGTTTAAAATCAACTAACTATTCAATACCTTAGAAGTTGATGAGAAAGAAAAATATTTTTTTAAATTTCATTTATAATTATTCACTAAAAATAACAAGATTTCGTTTATATTAAAATATAGCATATATTAATTTTCAAGAGATGAGTGTAATTTTAAAAACAAAAAATATATATAATTTAAACATTTTAAAGAAGAAAAATGGCATTTATTTTAAATTTGTTAAAATTTAGGTATAAAAATCTTAAGTTATTAAGCTTGTCTTAAACATTACTTCTTACAATTTAGCAGATGTAGGTTTTCCATCACTGATATGATTTTGCTTGTTATTGAATGTGTATATTATTAGCTTAGAAAATGGAAAAATGAATGTGTATATAGTTTTGAAAGAAGCAGCCGCAAGAGAGCATAGCAGTAAAATAATATTAGGATCCATAGATGATTGAAAAGTTGGTGATAGTAATAGGTAGCAAACATTTTAACTTCAATTCTGACCAAGCGAGAGATTAATTATTGGGCAAACTATATACCTGCGATAAAATTATTAGTTTATGTCTCATTTGGGAGACAAACAATGGCTAGGTCCCCTACGAGATTTATTTTTATTTAAATGTTAGCGTATCTCCAGCAGAAAGATTTTCCTCTTGTCAAGTACATTATATTATTATTATTAGTAATTAGAGAGAGATGGTTTAAACGAGGGAGTTTACATTGTTTACTAATAACTCTCTTTCGGCTTATCATCATTCATGGGTGCTAACAACCATATCCTCTCCTTATGTTTTGCCCAATAAATAAAATACTTTAATCTATAATATCGAATATTTCAATTTTATACACACTCTTTAATGTCATGCATGACTCTAAAATTCTTCAAAAGGTTTAATTAAAAATAATTTAGTGCATTACAATATATTTTAATAACTGATTTTGATAAAGATGACTACCTTTTTCATATTCTATGTATAAATGCATAAATTAATACAACATTCTTAGGCGACTAACGTGTCGGCTGCTCGTGCATGCTACGCAGTCCATGATCTAATCTCTAATTTTTCAAATGATTAATGAGACTGTTTGTTTATTTTTTATGGCCAAGGAAGTTTTTTTGTTTTTAACCGCCATGCGCACCATTACAATTTCCTTGCAATTTTATATTCTTTCATTTTTATATATGCCTTTTTAATTTATCTATTATTAAAAAAACGCATATTAAACTGAACCTTAGCATTACCACATTAATCAGATAGTCGGCAGGTCCGTTAATAATTTCACACGATTGAAAGCAACAAAGATAGATTGTCAAGCCTGGTCATAATTAAGTTTTGGACTAATTTTTTAAATAATTAAACGATTAACACTAACTTAACTCTCACGAATTGATGCACAATCTAAATTTGACGCGTCCTTCTTTGCCTGATAAATAAATATACATTAATTTTAAATTAAACTAATGGTGAATATATTATAATTTGTTCCCTTTATTTTAAAAATCAAAATTTTGAGCCACTGGGAAGAGATTATAATGTGGTTCGAGAGTCCATGATTTGTATTAGGTTGGCACATTCTCTTGGGATTATTGTTGTTAATGTTGGTTGTTATATACGTAGTGATTCTTACAGCTCTAACGCGTATGGGGCTTTCTCAAATGCTCTTCTTACGTACTCACCAAACAAACCGACCCACTTAATTTGGGGGTTCATGCATAATGCATTTTATGATCAGAATTCCACAAGAAACGGCTCAGATATAATGGAAAACGCAAAGTGGACTTAATATTTTGGGAGACATATATAATCAGAGTCACATCTTGCAGTGCAGAATGACATATGATA